TGCAGATACCAAAAAATTTCTATATGTGACACGGCACCAGAGTTAAGTTAGGGTTTTTCAAAATGCTGACACGCTGAGCTCAAAAGGTTCGCTATCACTGGTCTAGGTGGTCCTCGCGCCCTTGCACGTGACGTCACCACAAGATGGCTGCGCGCACAGCGGAGGCGGGGCCCAGCAGTCACTCCACGCAGTGAGGCCTGGGCGTCCCATGGCTCCACACAGCACAGAGAAAGCTGGTCCGGGTGTCTCCACCGCCTTGCGCAGATGAGGCGGGTCCCAGTGTCTCTGCTGCCTCACCTGGAGGAGGTGGGTCGTGGCAGGGGAGAGCAGCTGGGGGCAGTCGGGCCAGCAGGGAAGGGCAGTTGTGGATGATCAAGCCAATAGGGGAGGGCAGTTGGGGGCAGTCGAGTCGGCAGGGGAGGGCAGTTGGGGGTGATCAGGGCCGACAGGGGAGCAGTTAGGCATCGATCAGGCCGGCAGGGGAGTGGTTCGGAGGTGATCAGGATGGCAGGCAGAAGTGGTTAGGGGCAATCAGTCAGGCAGGCAAGTAGTTAGGAGCCAGCGGTCCTGGATTGTGAGAGGGCTGTCCAACTGCCCCCAGGCCTAAACTGGCAGTCAGCCATCCCTCAAGGCATCCCAGATTGGAAAGGATGCAGGCCAGGCTGAGGGACACCATCCCCCACCTCCTGCACAAATTTCGTGCACTGGGCCTCTAGTTAAGAAAATAAAAGCAAGCAAATAGAAACTCCTTCATCTTTCCACCATCAAATGTACCAACTAACCAGCATCCTGCCCTCACTCTCTGTCTTCTTGCCTAATACATTAGGTGCCCCTGCTTCCACCAGAGTCCAACCTTTCCACCTGGCCTCTGGACTCCAGCCTATTTTGCCTGTGTCCCACAATTATCCCTTCCCTCTCTTGCATCATTTTGACTAACTCTATAGGATCTTGTCCTCAGCACAAATATGCTTGGTCTCTCCCATCTTTTAACAAAGCTTCCCCTGGCCCCATGTCTACTTCAAAATACCACTTCATATTTAGCCACCCTTCTTAACAATCCTTTCTCTAACCTTTATTATGAGACATATTTGCCCCTACCTGTTGAATCTCCCCCAGGCTTGGGATTCTCAGAGTCTCCACATATGATAGAACAGAGACTGCAGCGTCCCTTCCACATTCTAACTTCCTTACCCATAGAACTTATGAGCATAATAAAAATATTGTTTTAAGCTTTATGTGTGGGGTAATTTTTTATGTAGCTACTGGAACTGGAACATGTTCCAACCACCATTATATTCCATCTACATTATGGCAATTGCTTACTCCCTCCTCCCCCTTGCTGTCTAAAATCTACATTCAGCACAGGAATCTGAGTGGTTCTTATAAACCTTCAGTCAGACTACATTGCTCCACTTCCTAAATTTCTTCCCTGGTTTATCTCAGTCAGATTATAAAAGCCAAAGTCTCCATAAGATCTTACATTACCTGACTCTCCCTACCTCATTTCCGGCTCTCTCCCTTGCCCATTTTGCTCCCATTTTCCTTGCTGTTCCTTAAACAGGTGTACTCCCACCTCAGGGACTTGCACTTTCTGATCCCTTTGCCTGAAATACCCTTTTTCTAGATATCCATACTGCTTGTTTTTTCACTTCCCTCAAACTTCTACCCAAATGTCACCATATTGTAGAAGCTGGCTTGGTACAATACTCCCTTTCCCCTTTACTCTACTTTATTTTTCTCTTTAGCACTTACTGCTAAATTGTTTATTGACTTATTTGTTTGTGTATGTCTGCCTCCATTCACTGAAATTGCCTGGAGGACATGGGCTTTGCCAGTTTTTATATCAACATCCTATGCTAGGGCAGGGCTGACATGTAGTGGACATTGAACAAATATATATTGAATAAGCAAATGAGTGAATGACTTCACCCACATGTTAGAATGAGAATTCTAAAGTGTAGCAAGCAGTTGACTTAAAAATAAAAATACAGCTGCTTTTCAGTAGTGATGACTCATTGGAGTCCCAGAGAAATTTAAAAGAAGACAAACAAGGTGTCCAGCATGACAATAACAGCTCAGTAAAGCTACTGAAGTCATATTGTCATGCTGGACACCACAGAAATTAGGACATAAGCATTTCTCCAACCTAGTTCCCAACTGTATTCTTTAAAACACAACTTATATAAGAAAAACATCACAACAACAAAAATAATCTTGTTCGCTGACATTTCCTAAACACCATCTATCCTCAGCCCTTTACTACCACTTTGACTCCCTGGGCATATTTGGGAGAATTATCAGCATGCCATTGTGACCTTTACCTCTAATAAGAAATGTCTGCTTCAGCAGCCCATGGTGAACACTATGCTAAGACTTTTTAACATGTGTCTGTGTGTGTGTGTAAATTAAATGAGATTACATATAAATTGGGTATAGTTTCCATTTACAATATAGTAAAAGAATCTATAATACATATATTACTTATATAAGTATTATATACTATAAATTACTTATGTAATCTAATTTAATTCATACAACTCTATAAGGTGAATATTAGGTTTTCACCAGATTTATGTATTTAATTGATAAAGATCACAGAAGACTATACTATTTCCAAATCTTGAGGATAATGAGGGAGAAATGCTAGAGAGAAGCTTTTATCCAGACTGCTTAAATATGGCATCCAAAATCACTCTCCCTCCTACCCATACCTACTCACAAAGAACCACACACATACAAGAAGACTTAGTGTAGTTTCCTGTATTTCCAATGTAGGCAGTCATCAGAAAAGCAAGTGTGAGAAAAAGTCTCCCTCATCCAAGCTCTGCAGGGTTCCCTGAGCGACTCCTGGTGGTCCTTGCCAATCTCTACTACAGTATCACTGTCTTGTTTTAGAGAGTTCAAGATCTGAATGATCAGTCTATCTGCGATTGGGCAGAGTCCCCATTAGCCAGAGCTGAATAATTCAGCCTAAGTATCTTGATCTCATCCACAGTTTATTTTATCTTTCAGTTCCAAAAGTAGTACATGTTTGATAACACTTATGTCTATAATTTAGATATTAACTTGCAAAAGAAGTAAAAGTAAGTGAGTCATCAAAATCTTAAGTTAAATAAAAACCAGAAGATGTTTCTTCTTTCTGGATTAGACCCTAACATTTTGGGTAAGTCACTAGACTTCTGTAAATAATTTCCATGGAGATTTAAAAAAAAAGTCTGACCAACTATTCCACAGTATGTGTCAAAAGAAATAAAAGATAGAAAAGGTTCAAGCTGTTATGTGTTTAACAAAAATTTTAGTTAATAAGATGTATAAAAACTGTGATCACATTAATCAGTAATTTAAGCTAGCCAAAGACAGCTGTATCACACCAGATCTTAGGGACACACTGAGAGTAGATAGATTTCCTGTCATATTCAGCAACAGCTGTATACGTGGCAAAACCACCAAAATCCAATTCACGAGTATCTTGCTCATATGTGATAACCCACTCACCTCATTGCACAGAGTATTGTGGATAACAGGTCTTTCCTCCCACCTTAAATAAAAATATGTACCCACCTCATTAAAGCTACCGCTAGCCACAAGGATTTTCCCGTGAACTAGGAATGCACATTTGTGTCTCCTTCCATTACGCAGTGGAAACATGCATGGAACGTCACACGGCACTCTGCTATCCCCTCAGTGCAAACATATGAGTTGGAGATGTCCATGGCAAGAACTCCAGAAAAGGAACAGAAGTGTTTATATCTATTCTAAATCCTTTACTGCTCCCCCACTGTTCCATTACCACCCTAATCTAAGAATTCACTTTCTCTTTCATGTTTAGACTTCAAACTTTAAAAAAAATCTATCGCCTGTGTTTCCAAAATCCGGACCTAGGCGAGGAATTGTGCCTTAATATCTATCACTCATTGCTTCCAATTAAAGTGTTGGATCTAAAATTTATCACAGCTTCTCAATGGCTCTAAGTGCTAACAAATCAATTAGTCCTAAACTCCTCACGTCAGGCACATTCTGCCCTGCCAAGCCAATTTTATACACAGGAGAGTAAGTAGGAACCTGGCTTCGAATTCTGCGATGAATGATGCAAAAGCAAAGCTGGAGAAACAGCCTCAGAAGCCCTGAATCCCCGTCCCCTATCAAATGCCTATTAAAAAAAATCCAGATCATCCTCTGTCAAATTATTTATGGGTGACAACAAATATTTCTAATTATATCCATTCACAGCCACAGTCAGTGAATATTGTGCAAAGAGATTGCCAAAAAAAACATTTTGCCAAGTAGGTTCCTAGCTAGGACAGCTGAGGCGGTTGCTGTGTTTGCAGAATGGCTCTATAAAAGTAGAACCGAGGTGCCTCTGTCCTGTCCCTCCTCAAAATTCCTTAAGGTATGTATACGTGGAAGAGAACTTGCCAGTTTTGCATTCCTGGTAATTATTCACTTAAGGGAGATTGTTGTTTCCAAAATTTTCCAAATTTTAACTTTTCTTTGCAACATTCCTTAAGATGACTTTGTGCAAATAATTACTAGTGTTTTGTGATTAAATGAAAACAAAAATAAAAGAATTCCCATTCTCTTGTGTTTCTTTCAACAGTAGTTGTCTGCTTTGAGCCTGCCACCTTCTTCATCTGGTAACACGAGAGGTAAGCGTAATCTATTACTACACTCTGAAGAACAAAGGGATATCTGTATTGCTGGTCTGAAAGAGCTAACATTTTATATCTTAGTTTAGTAATGGGAATAGGATACAAGGAGCAGCTTCTCTTTAAAAATGGCATCTCATAACATTTTAACTGTTCAGACCATTTAACCACATAAAATGTAATGACTCTTGTCTTTTACATGTGTTAGAACTTCAGAAAGAATACAACGATCACATGTAACATTTCATGTGTGCTACCACTGCAACTTAAACAGTAAGAACATATCAGAGAGATAGAATGGTCATATCAACCAACAATGGGTTGATCAAAAAGTCAAAATTTCTAGGTGCCAGTCCAGGTTTTTCACTGACTCCAGTTGCCCTGTCAAGCCAGTTGGCATTTATGTATCATGAAATAGGGTGTTGCAGTGGAATTAGCACTAAGAAGTCCTAAAGTGAACTTAGGAGAATGGGACTCATGTCTGGGCACTACCACTTATACCTCTGTGTCACTGAATGACCCTTCCCTTTCTGAGCCTTAGTTTCCTTACCAGTAAAATGAGGAGGCTGGGGGACTGTTAAGGTCCCTCTGGCTCTTGCCATCTATGATCTGTCAGTGGTTTTCCAGGGTCTCCTCCCATAGAACCAAACACATTTAATGGACCTTCCCCAACTCTATGTATTGGGGTCTGTACTTTTTGTATTGTGTTAGGAATATGCATAATGATGCAAACCTACTACGCATTTAATAATTATTTTTTTAAAGTTTATATTTAAATACACGGCTATGTTCATTTATAAAAGAATAGAAAACTCTGCTTTGTGTAGGAGTGTTGCTTGTTGAACTTGAGGCAATTACCACCGGGCAGGTGAATTCAAGGACTTGTTGCAACAAGCCTGAGGATCTTGGGGGCTTGTAAGTCACAAACTTGGAAATGACTGATTTTGACACGAGATGGGAATGGTAACGTCCTTTCTGTGTTTTGTGGATATGCTGTATATGGTCATCTCTACATGGTAGTTAATTCAAAATTGCCTGATGCAAAAACAAATCTATAAACAAAAAAATAATATTTCTCCTCTGAAGAAAAAAAAAACACCCTAACACTGTTCCAATATCTGTCTCCTGCAAATGTCTAAATTTCATTGTGTCTTCCAAGAGAATTTTATAAGTATGAACTACACTGATTACAGAGATACAGTATGGAGCAAAGTTGACATCTAACAGCGCAAGTTGAGAGGAAGTTTTGATCAAGACTCCTTCTGGAAAGCTTATAAAAGGTTGACATTGTTGTCATTGACAATCAAGGCACTGCTTTCCACAAACCACCCTCTTCTACTCCATAAAGGCACCTTCTTTAACTCATCCCGTCCTTGCCATCAGGGCAAGAGGACTTATTTTCTCACAATTAATTTGTCAGTGGGAAAAAATTAAGTTTATTTTGGCTTGAAACTTTATACTGAATATTTCAGAAGAGATGTTTGGGGGATTGGTATTTTTTAAATAAGAGGAGGGGGAAGAGAGAGATTGAAAGAGACCTAAAACAATAAGAATCAGATAAAAAGGATCTGTATGCTAAAGTCCAGTTAAAAACAAAGAGAAGTATAGACTAAAAGTATATGATCACTACAAAAATTTTATTAAAACTTCAGATGCTTTTCTCCAACAACTTTTTAAAGTCATCTTTTGTTTAGACACTATTTCTGACTTCTGCACAATTTAAGAACTAATAAAAGATAACTTTGACTTAGGGTAAAATCATTTGTTGGATTTTCAGCTTTATTTTACTTACTTTCCCCTTTAATTATCTAATACTTGTCAGTTAACTAGGACTTTTGTTGATTAGATGCTTTCAACCTGGAAAATGTTCTCAAAGAACAAATGTGCCTTTCATACATCTAACTTTAATATCTTTTTACACGCAGTTTATACATCCAACTTTAATCATTAGAGGCAGGAAGAAAATTTGTTTAAATAATTGAGTGTTTTTAAGTAAGTTCATTTAGATTGTAAATCCATTGTTCAGTTATTTTCCATTACTTTGTATCATCACAATGTCAAAAATGGGGGTGTGTGGAAAAAAGGAAAGAAAAGAAAAGCATAAAGAGAAAAATTTCTGAACACACTTGGGGCATTACAAATGTTGCTGATTGAAACATCAATTCCTCCACATTTCCCAATTGATACAAAAGATAAAATGGAGGCTGAAAATGTCACAAAAATTAAGCTACCAATATGAGACTTTCAAATCAATGATCTAATCTTTCAGAACCTTTACATAGGACACAAGAGTGATCCTTAAAAGGAGGGGTGAGGCACTCGCTGTTTTGACTCAGTGGATAGAGTATCAGCCTGTGGAATGAAGGGTCCCTGGTTCGACTCCTGTTAAGGACACATGCCTGGGTTGTGGGCTCAATTCCCAGTAGGAGGCGTGCAGGAGACGGCTGATCAATGATTCTCATCAAATTATGTCTCTCTCTCCCTCTCCCTTCCTCTCTGAAATTAAAAAAAAAAAGGAGGGGTGAGGAAACAGGCATGGCCATGAAGCCCATTAACCACAGGTGAGAGTGACAGGGCAATGCCCACCCACACCCTGGGTCCCTATACAACTGGGTTTCTTCCCTCCAGGTACAACTGGTCCTGTGCTGTGTTGCCCTCAATAATCCGCAGCCATGAGTTCCGACTCTGAGATGGCAGTTTTCGGGGCGGCTGCTCCTTATCTCCGAAAACCTGAAAAGGAGCGAATTGAAGCCCAGAACAAGCCGTTTGATGCCAAGAATTCTGTCTTTGTGGTGGATCCCAAGGAGTCCTATGTGAAAGCAACAGTGCAGAGCAGGGAAGCAGGGAAGGTGACGGTCAAGACTGAAGGAGGAACTGTGAGTTAAAAAAAAGGAGGGAGCGGCATAAATGATCTTTTTCTCCTACTTAGTTGATACACATTGGCTCCTTCTTTTCTTTACAGACTGTCACAGTGAAGGACGATCAAGTCTTCTCTATGAACCCTCCCAAATATGACAAGATCGAGGACATGGCCATGATGACTCACCTGCATGAGCCCGCTGTGCTGTACAACCTCAAAGAGCGTTATGCAGCCTGGATGATCTACGTGAGCACCCGTTGACATTACTTTTCAATAACTTTATGAACTGTGTTAGCTAAGACGAATTAAAGACTTTAGTTTCAGACTTGGCTACAGCAATTTTATCTTAAGTAATCATTTGGTTAGTGTTGTAAATTCTGATGTATTTGAAAGTGTGCGTGTGAAAGCCTTCTACTTAAAACTGACTTAGTTGGAAAACTGAAGCATTTTGTGAAGCAGTGGGCCTTAGAGGGAGGCAGCAAATGGATGAAACCATTAAGCATTATGAGAACTTAAGGCTCAGGTCCCTTAAATGAATTACTTAGGTCCCTCTCTCCACGTTTCCAGGTCAAATTAATGAGGTGACTACTGACTGAGCTATCTTATCATTTCCCATAGACCTACTCGGGCCTCTTCTGTGTCACTGTCAACCCCTACAAGTGGCTGCCAGTGTATAACCCCGAAGTGGTGTCCGCCTACCGAGGCAAAAAGCGCCAGGAGGCTCTACCCCACATCTTCTCCATCTCTGACAACGCCTATCAGAACATGCTGACTGGTGAGCCAGCCCATAATTACAATTTCCATAACCACTTATAAATTATTTGTATACTGATAACACAGAAGACAAAGGACCAGTACTTTGAAAATAACATGTTCAGCTATGAACCAGGTGACTGATGGGATTGAAAATATCTAAGACTGTAGAAGTAACTACTACAAGGATCAGAAGCTATTATTCACTCACCTGATACTGATTATTCACATAGCTATTATGGTGAAATAATGCATTACATATTTTATCACATTAAAGGAAATGGAAGTTTAACACACTAATTAGCACATCTTTGGATACTTATTTTTAAAAAGAATTTGTGAAAATAGCAAAGCACCAATTGATATCGTTATTACTTTTGTGGAAATGGGGAGTTTTAGAAGACAAGTTTGAGTTTACAAGTACTGTATTAATCTATGTGCCAAGTTTTGTGGTTTTAAAAAACATCTTGGGTTTTGGTTTCTCTTTTGCAGATCGTGAAAACCAGTCCATCCTGATCACGTATGCATATTTCATGCCTTTATTTCCTGTTGAGTTCTGATCCTTGTAGTAGTTACTTCTACAGCCTTAGATTCTGACTTTTTCCTCTGTCTGGAATTGACAGCGGAGAATCTGGTGCAGGGAAAACTGTGAACACCAAGCGTGTCATCCAGTACTTCGCAACAATTGCAGTTACTGGAGAGAAGAAGAAAGAAGAGCCTGCTTCTGGTGGCAAACTACAGGTGGGTATGACGTTCAATTGGGGATGGAAGAACCAAAAGAACCACGGTACTTCAGAATCATGGCAGCCAATTGCATGCAATGCCAGATTGGGAAAATAACTCTTGGAAGGACTTGTAAGAATGAAATATATTGGCAGGTTCAATATGCAAAAGTTCTCACAACCATTTAATTAGGGGGAAAGGTGGGCCTGAGGATATGGAAACCAAGACCAGACACTGAAGTGTTGCCCTCCCCACAATTTGTCCTCCTTCTCACTCATTTTAGAAAATCTTACCCAAAAGTTACAGGCTACTATAAAAGGGGAAAGAAGAGTCGGGAAGATCAATGAGAAGTTACTTTAGCAGACTAAAACTCATCTTTTGTAGAGTTTCTCTATCTATCTTATTCAATTATCTTAAGGGGACCCTTGAAGATCAAATCATCAGTGCCAACCCCCTACTGGAAGCCTTTGGCAACGCCAAGACTGTGAGGAATGACAACTCCTCTCGTTTTGTAAGTTTCCTGGTCTTCCTTTTCATGTGAGAATTAGTACTGCCTCTCCTATACATCTGATAGCAATATCTTTTGCATCTATTTGTCCACAGCTATAAAGAACTACTGTCTGTCTTTTAATACGTACAATAAGTTCTCCTTTGCCTCTTTAAGGGTAAATTCATCAGGATCCATTTTGGTGCCACAGGCAAACTGGCTTCTGCAGATATTGAAACATGTAAGTTAATAAATATTAGTGATGGAGTATCTTTTTCTTTGGTGTACATATTAAAAATCTTACTTTCATCTTTTTTCCACTGTGACCTTTTCTGTTAAATGTGCCTAATCTCACTTTCTAGATTTGCTTGAGAAGTCCCGAGTTACTTTCCAGCTAAAGGCTGAAAGAAGCTACCACATATTTTATCAAATTATGTCCAACAAGAAACCAGAGCTTATTGGTAAGAAATATCCTTGATTTCTACCAAGAAATAGTGACAGCCCTTCTAAAGAAGTCCCTCTGAAATATTTTTATAACCAAAGTAACTCTGTCTATATTTCTTTTCCATGTGTTCAGAAATGCTTTTGATCACCACCAATCCATATGACTTTGCCTTTGTTAGTCAAGGTGAAATCACAGTGCCTAGCATTGATGATCAGGAAGAGCTGATGGCCACAGATGTAAGTAATAGATACAAAGCAAGAAAAGCCAAACTCATTTTCCAGTGTACAACACTCTCCTCTGTTAGAGTAGACAGCATTAGCAGGAAGAATATAAATAGGCAATACTGCCTGTCAGGCTTTCCTTTCCCTGGAATAAAAAGGTATTTCAATGCCCCTGCCCACCAACATGTATTAGAAACTTCAAATGTCTATAATAAATCTTAGGTCCTTGTCATTCCTTGGCTAATTGACTCATTTTTTCTCTTATCAGTTATTTTTGGTTAATTTTTGTGCTCCAATAGTGATGTTTCTCTTCTATTTTATGGCAGACCCTGGACCCAAGAATCTGAGAAAGATGTCAGAAAGAAATGGGAAAATATTTTAAATTTTTTTGTAACTAAATATGAAATCCCCACATTTCCTTTATAATCGGATGAAAACACAAAATCTTTTCTAAGTATACCTCTAAGGGCTAATTATATATGCCTCACCTCCCTATGCAGTATAAGAAGAAATGGATTATCTACCTCAATAATATTCTTTTTGGGACTCCATGAAGCCTTTATATTTATTTTTGGAACTACAGATTTTCCCTCCCCCCTCTTTTTTAAAGGATTATTACTCTGGCTTATTTTCTTTATACATATTTTATGTTTTCATCTGAATTTCTGAATTATCAATCTTCTTTGATTATTAACTTTAATACCAATAGGAATATCCCAATATTCCCAAGATAGAACCTTAAAGTTCCTTGCAATTATAATTTTAAAATATTATTTTCAAGGAGTCTGTGAACTATGTGTGTGCCTTTATCAGCTCTTTCTCTATAACATATTGTATATGTATGTCCAGACGTGATAGAGTTGAGAAAGATCCGCTAGTCAGAAGTTTAAAAAAATGTAGCAGTCTCGCTCCAGGACTTCTGTAGTGATGTCTAAATTCTGTAGATAGGTAGTCAGTAAGCTGGGGCCAGAAGGCAATAGTCTGAGGAAAGAGGAAACAGAGTGGTAAATAACCATACTTTCCTCCCTGTGCCTGCCCCACTGAATAAGACTTTTCAAAGCTTGGCAGGGGCAATTAAGAAGGGAATCAAAATCTGATAGAGAAAAAAAGACACAGATATATTTCAATAAAAGAAGAAATTTCTTTCCACAAATGTCTGTTCCCTACATGAACAACGATCAGGTAAAGTTCACTGCCAGGTATCTCATGGTCAGCTGTGGCCTGATATCAGACAGGCATGTGGAGAAAAACTCAGGCCATTGCTGCTGTCCTCATATCCTCCTCCCAACTGCATCCTTCCTGCGCCTTAGGGTGGAAAGGCAGACTCTGAATATGTATTAAGTTAGGACAATGTAGGAGAAGAAGGAGCAAACACAGACTTGTGAGGCTGGAGAAATGAGCAAGAAAAGCCCCGAGACAGTAAGAAGAATGCACAGGGAGGCCAGGCTAATAATGTGGAGAAATGGGAAATGCACTGCCTCTGAGTCCTGACTGAGTGGGTGTGGACAAGTCATATAACACCTTTACTGTCCACATGACTCAATCGGAAGGCATACATACCTCTGGGTGTTGCTATATAGAACAAAATGGTGATGCCTTTTGAAAATGAAAAAGTGTTAGTCAAATATAAGACAGTGTGATGAGAAAAAAGTGGGAGGAGTATCCTAAGTCTGCCATAGTGGTAATTGTGAGGTGAATTAAATTCAACTCTTTTCTCAGAGTGCTGTGGACATCCTGGGTTTCAGTGCTGATGAAAAGGTGGCCATTTACAAGCTCACAGGAGCTGTGATGCATTATGGGAACATGAAATTCAAGCAAAAGCAAAGGGAAGAGCAAGCTGAGCCAGATGGCACTGAAGGTAGCACTCCCTGTTGATACCTTTCGATTGACAGAACTGACATCATCAGCTCCTCAGAGACGTAGACCATATTTCCATTTTCTTTGACTTACCTGGTGATGGGAGAAAGTATTAGGGGGAAGAAATGACATACTACCTGGTGTTTTACATGCTGAGCAGGTTTGTGGAGATGTGATTTCTGCCCATTCCATTCTTCATTGACTTATTGCCAGCTAGTATTTGCTATTTGATTAAAATATTTATTTCAGTGAAAAAATAACAGATCTAAAGTTTGCTGTCACTACACCCCTAAGTTAGAGTTTCTCAAATTGCTTTTATCATGGCCCACTTTAGGTATGTTTTAAATATCACAGAGCACCAATTATCCAAGTTCCAAATTATCATCCCCCCCAAAATTACTAAAATTAGCATGAAAGGTGGCAATTTTGAAGCTATATCAGCAAATGAATGTTTTGCTACATTACTCTTCAAGCAAAAATATTTTTCCTGTGTCACTGTCATTCACAACTTCAGTTGTATAAGCCTTGATTGGTTTCACCATCCTCACCTTGTTCATGCAGTTGCTGACAAGGCAGCCTATCTCCAGAGTCTGAACTCCGCTGATCTGCTCAAAGCCCTCTGCTACCCCAGGGTCAAGGTCGGCAACGAGTATGTCACCAAAGGCCAGACTGTACAACAGGTAAACATGACTTAAACCTCCAGATTCATTTGAGCCACAGGAGACTTAAGGGCCCATCATTATTTTCAACTAAAAAACTAAATTATCTTTGTTCTTAAAGGTGTACAACTCCGTGGGTGCTCTGGCCAAATCCGTCTACGAGAAGATGTTCCTGTGGATGGTCACCCGTATTAACCAGCAGCTGGACACAAAGCAGCCCAGGCAGTACTTCATTGGGGTCTTGGACATCGCTGGCTTTGAGATCTTTGATGTGAGTAATGAATTTATAGAAAATTAACAAATGCAAATCCCCGGTCATTTAAAGCATAGAGCATTAACAAACAAGTTGGGGAGATTGGTGGACTGGGTGAAGAAGGTAAAGGGATTAAGAAAAAAGAGCACTCATAGACACAGACAATAGCATGGTGATTAAATGAGGGGAATGACTTGAGGGGAGAGACAGAAGAGGGTATAGGGGCTATATGATAATGGAAGGAGACTTGTCAAGGGGTGATGAGCATACAATATAACATATAAATGATTTATTATAGAATTGTACACCTGAAATGTATATAATTTTAGTAACCAGTGTCACCCCAATAAATTCAATAATTATTTTAAAAAGGGGTGCATGATGAGGGTTTTCAGGAGGTAAGACTTAAAAATTATGGGTTGGGTGGCTAGATTATGAAATACTTTCTTATATTAAAGATTTAAAAATTCATATGATAAAAAAGAAAAAATGTGTGCTCTGCTACACATTGTTGAGTAAACATCAGTCAGGTGGTCAAGCGAAGTTGATTCTGTCATTCAAGTCTATTACATCTTGCCTTTCTACCTACTTTTTCTATAAATTATTGAATGGGATATTAAAATCTTCACCTATCAAAAAAAAGTACAAAATGGAATTTGTACTAAAGAAGAGTCTTTGGAGAGATGTGACAACTAGTAAATAGGTATAAATAGAAAAGAAAGTTTTAGTCTTTTAAGTCTAGAAGTCTCAAAATTGACCCATGAATGGTTAAAGTACTCAACATCAATCCCAGATCCATGTAGATGAGCATAAAAACACTTTCTTAAATGAAATGAGGATATTTAAAAGATGTCTTCATTTAGCAGCATTTTGCCTGATAAGCATGATTTCAAGCAGCTACTTGAGAAGCAAAATACCGAGGAGTCAATTCTCTTTTGTTTAGAATTATGTCATATGTTAAGAAAACAATCCAAACCTTTGTAATTTAATAAATTATATGCCTTAAATTCAGAAGGAAATATTAATAGCTGCTTTATAGATTACAACTACTTAAGTTATCAGTAATTTCCTATATCTATTGTTTCCTACAGTACAACAGCCTGGAGCAGCTGTGCATCAACTTCACCAACGAGAAACTGCAACAGTTTTTCAACCACCACATGTTCGTGCTGGAGCAGGAGGAGTACAAGAAGGAAGGCATCGAGTGGACGTTCATTGACTTCGGGATGGACCTGGCTGCCTGCATTGAGCTCATTGAGAAGGTTTGTATGACTTTTCAAGCCTTTAGAACATGACGAAAAAATAGTCCACATTCCTATGTTTGAAACCACAATCCCAGTTTTCAAAGAACAAGCAGTAGCATTTTATGGTGTATCTGTGCACTTTGATCAGCTGTGAGGTGTGTCACAAGTGATGTTATTAATGAACAAAGTAATTTGTAGAAAATGATTACAACACACACATGTACACAGTCACATTTATCCCACTTAATCACTTCATTTTCCCTGTCATTCCTATATGATCTTTTTAAAAAAATTTCTTTATTGATTAAGTTATTACATATGTGTCCTTATCCCCACATTACCCTCCATCCCCCCTCTCATGATCTTACCCCACTGGTGTCTGTGTCTGTTGGTTAGGCCTATATGCTTGCATATAAGTCCTTTGGTTGATCTCTCCCTCTTACCCCCACCCTCCCCTACCTTCACTCGGAGGTTTGGCGGTCTGATCGATGCTTCTCTGTCTCTGGATCTGTTTTTGTTTATCAATTTATGTTGTTCGTTATATTCCATAAATGAGTAAGATCACGTGATATTTATCTTTCTCTGACTGGCTTATTTCACTTAGCATAATGCTCTCCAGTTCCATCAATGCTGTTGCAAATGGTAAGAACTCCTTTTTTACTGCAGCATAGTATTCCATTGTGTAGATACCACAGTTTTCTAATCCACTCATCTGCTGATGGGCACTTAGGCTGTTTACAAATGTTAGCTATTGTAAATTCTTTTTATAACTCAATAATACTCTATTGTCTGGATATACTACAGTTTATTTAGCCATTCACCCAGTGACAGACGTCTTGCTTGTCTCCAAGTTTTGC